AAACTAAGAAGATTAGTTTGTCTGTTGCACCGAGTTGTCTGATTTATTTGAAGATTTGCCGCAGAAATTTGTACCGTGCTATTATTAATGACGATTGTTAATTAATGTAATTATTATATTAGAATAATTATACACGAGAATTAAGAACATTACTCGATAACACCTAATCTCTATACTGCAAAGTAATTTTTTCAAATATTACAATAATAGAGATGTGTTAAGTAATCGAGATAAATAAATTTTGAACAAAGATTTATAACAGAATAATACAAAATTTAATTTTATAATATATGTATATAATTTTTTTTTTAATTCATATACATATCATTTATTAATTTAATCATTTTTATTATTATTAAAAAAGATTTTATTAATATCACTTTTATTTATAACAACCAAAATTGTTAAATGTTAGCATAAAGTTCAATTTAATAATGTAACATAATGAAAACTTTCTCGCGCTGTAAATTGCGCTTCAGTAAAATGTCATATCATAAAGTTAACACTCATTGTTAACTTTATTTAATTTCACAGATCTCAAAGCGCAACCATATTTCGACCAACTTTTGCAGAACAATTAGAAAATATTCGCTAAACAGTCCGCAGCTGCGAGAGAAGTTTCATAAATAGTCGAGTAATTTCGTATTTCAGTATATTATGTTTTTGATGAATCTTTCTCCCTGGGACTCTCATTCTTATGTTTACTTCAGAATTCATTATGCAGACCCATTGTATGGGTGTGTTCTGCGGTTATTTTTTTATTTCGATTTTTCTGGACCGAATCTTCAAGTTCTAACGAATTATTCGTATATTCGTATATCCATTCATTTTCTATCTACATAGCTAACCCTTCAGTCTATATATCTATCTACCTGTTTATCCATTTACTTGATGTACTGCTTTTACTCGTCTGGAAGTTAGTAGACTTTCCGTCTTCCATCGAGCGCAAGCTGCATATCCGAGACTTTCGAGATAGAAAGAAGATGGGGCGTAAGTAACTATCGTGAGAACTCTTCATGTCGCTTTTACTCCCGGCTATAATATATTTCGCAAAGTAGAAATATGAAAGTAAAAATAGCGCTCACTTGTGCGAACTCGCTAGGAATCTGTCATCCAACAGCTGTCAGTGTGTCGCCGCTAATTTTAAATCAATGTATCAAAAATAAACGAACAAATCTCACTCTATTTTCTTCTTAATTCTTCATAATTCTTTCTCTTTAATTCCCTCGTTGATCTTTTCAATTGTTTGCTTTGCAAGTAGCTTTGCAAATAATATATAAACAATGTTTTATATACACACACATACTGCATAAATATTCCTGTTATGCGTCAACAAATCTCTGTGTCTCATTAGTATAAATGCCAGTAATCCATTAATAAAGAAGTGTTGTGTCAACGAGTACGAGAAAAGCGCGTGTAAAATCTCGACTCCATAAAAATCCGCTGTAAATTCTACGAGGTCAATGACGTTACTGCGTCGTACACTGACACGTAGAGTTTATACGGCGTCGTTTCTACGCGAATGAGAGCGAGCAGCGAACATATGTCGGAGAAGCATCTCTACCAACATTGGCTTCGTCGTCGCGATAATCCGCGGTTACAGCGACGGTATCCGGTAATATGGTTCGTTAAATTTTAACACGGTCGATATGTTTTCGTCACGCGAAATATCCCTTCTTCCTCCGATATAGCCTTAATAACGACGCGTCGCGTTGACACGAATTAGAGTGCAGCGAGGGAGACTGCTAATGAGTCGTTAGATAATGAACGTCTGAAACATGATGAACAGAGAGCGCGTGCTGGTCTCTGGGCGAGAAGATTGTCGAAGCTCGAAAAGCGAGTCAATTATATAGCGAGTCAAATGCAATTATTTATTTTTAACCAGAGATAATTAGGAGAGATATTAAATGTTATATAATATTAAGTTTATTTTATTTCGTGAATCGTCGGACCACACTCTGTGTAATTCGAATTAATTAATTTAGCTCGTCGCGTAATTTTTAAGAAAATTAAACGCGTATGTTTCTCGTCACGCAAATTTTAATTTTTTTTCAGCGCGGTAATATAAATTGCACTATGTTCCGGCGCGGTCGAATTAAAACTACATCTTTTTGGTCGGGTGCGACGGTAGTTAAACTGAAATTTGAATTTTTTAACGACAGACTACGCCGCGATACGCGATTCATCGCCCCGTCGTTGCTTTTAATTACTCCATCACGTGTGAAAACGGATGAATGGACGCGCACGGCCGAGGATGGAAAACCTTCCACACGTCTCATGATGGAAAGTGCATCAAGTGTGTGATAGCATTAAACGGAGAGTTACACTGTCACGTTTTTTCCCTTCTCTCTTTTCGAAACGCTTTGATCGAGCTATGACATTTGTCGCGAACGCGAATACGTTTGCGACATATGGGAGCATTGTCGTGAATTTTCTCAACGATGTTGACTTCGTTCAAGAAACGCATTCAAGAAACTCCGAGCGTACTCGAATTCAACGGCGAACAGAGACGGAAATTACATCTGCGTTAATCCGCGTGTAATTCTGTAATTCCGTCTTCCCGAAACTTTACCGATGAATCTGATCTTTAAACGTGTCGATAAATCTCAATGCAGGCCTTATCTCGACAACGTAATACGATAACCTTTTCTGAACCGACTCATATAATCGTTATTATGACGTTCGTCTATGTGTTTTTTTATTTTTCAATTTTTCAATTTTTCAATGTTTTTACGTTGATATGCTAAATAGTGCTTTAAATGCAGCAATAGCCAAAGTATACTTCGTACGGTCACTCAAGCGTTAACGACATCTTAATACATATATGTATGTGACATAATCAGCAGTGTGGCTATCTATACAGGTCGATTAAAGTATGCACGCACTATCAAAGCCAATGCCTTTTTCACATGCATACGATCCTGGCGAGATGTTTACTATTTTCGACGCGTATTCGAATGAGATGGAAACTAGGTTTGTCGCGAAAGTCTCGAAGTACGTGCTCGACGCAGTGCCGTCATATCACGTTTTATATAAAACGGAAAATAGCTTGGAGCGTAAACAATTGCGCGCCATCTCGATGATTAATATAAATTTTATTCAAATTGTCATTGCTTTTACGTTGAAAATTAACATAAGTGTAGATATACTCGGTAAATATTTAAACGGACGTGTTTATCCGATATGCTTTTGCACGGTCATCTCGGGGATATCTGATTATAGTTCTGGAATGAGTAGTTTGCAGACTCTGTCCTTTTTTGTAAAAGTACTTTTTTATCGCTGGCGTACCTCGGTCGTGAACTTTGTGAAATCATGCTTCGTGTATTTTCACGAGAAAGTTTGAGATATCTACGTCGTTTGCGCCGAGTGCCAAGTATTGGCGTATTTCCGAGAGCATTCTCGACCCTCCCGTTTCTAGCACAACGTACGGACACGTGTGTTCAAAGCGTTATGGAATGTTAAAAATAAAGAATATACAACATTCTTCGAAGAAAAGACATATGAATGATGTTACAAAGAAACTTGTAGAATTCATAAGGAAAAAATTATTACATAGGTTAAAAAATATATATACATATATGTGTGTATATCAAAAATAAGAAAAAAAAATATATATGTGTAGAGAGAGAATAACTTTTTTTTTATGTATTACGTAAGAGTTAAAGGACCAATTAAGAGCCAGACGGGGTAATTATTACGCTTAAGTTGATTGTTTAATTGTAATTGATGTTTGTTTTGTACGTTTCGATCTTTGTGCTTTGGACCATCTTCAGCATCTGAGTGACATATGTAACTTTAGCGTACTAATTGCTTGGCTCTTAATTGGCTTCTTAACTCTTACGTAATATTTATTATTTGAGCCATATTACTGATATTATTCTTTTTTATGTGTAAATAATTTGCAACAATTATAAACATATTTCTGATTTATTAAAAATATTAATCTTTGTGTCGAAGAAAGTATGCTAGTTTGACGAAATGTTCATATTTTTGTCTCTTCAATTATACACATATATCTTACAAATTTTATTATGCAAATTAATTCAGCCTTTGCTATTTCAAGTATAAAGTCTGTTATTATCTCGACATAAAACTCTACTCATATTCTGCTGAATTATAACATGTAGAACTCATTAGAATGTTGCATATTGCATGATAGTTTTATGTTTTATTCCTAAATTTTCAAAATATTCAGCAGAAATTGTAATGCTTTCAGATAGATGCAAATATTTAATAACTATACGTGTATTTCAAAATATATATTCCCCTGAAAATACATCACTATAATCTCTTCCTGAATTTTTTACTAAAATTCGTGTTAGAAGCAGTCATATCATTATATATGTATGCAGATTGTTGTATATAGACACATCGTGCAGTCATCAACAACCCTTGCTTTTGGATAGGTGACTTGACTGCATTAAGTCACGAAACATTAATTGGGACGTACATACGTGCATGAGTCTTGAACGTAATAACGTACAGGCGCTAAAGCTATGTAATATATCGCTGTTATTAAGTGCCTCAATAATTGCGTGTGCAATTAATGTGATGCATCGAATATTAGCGCATCGATAGTTGCAGAATCGTGATCTGTTTGTTATCGTAACTGTTGTAAACCTGGATTTTCGTGATACATTTAAATACACGTTTAAACGCGATTAAAATATGTATTATAATAATATATCACATTAAATACATACATACATATATATATATATTTATTTATTAAAATAACTAAATATATATATATATATATATATATATATAGTATATGTATATAAATTAATTCTTAATCCTATTATAATGTTAATTTTTAATTATCGGAACACAAATATTGTAGAAACTCTACGCTAATTGTAAAATCAAAGCAATTATATGTATTTATAGCGTAAAACTATATTTGAAAAATAAATTTTTAAAGTATTTGCAATAAATATGTAATTGCTCCGATTTTCAACTGTTTATTTTCACTTTTAATATGTACACAATGTACTTACCAAAACAAATTATAAAACAGACAAATGTGGGAAGAGAAGTAGACATCGCTTTTCCCCGGCGTGGTTCATTCACATATTGGTATACTATCTCAGACGCATGTCAGTCGTATTTAAGATACGCTAATTGGTGATGAAAACAGTTACATTAACACATAAAACCACGTCTCGTGATGACTGTGGCATTCCCGATCGGATCGGACAGAACCACCTTTGTACCAGCGTAGATACATGCACAGCCACTCGTGCGCGAATAGACGTCACGTAATTTCGCTTTATTATACTTTAAACAGAGCCCTTTAATTAGTTCTTCCTCTCGTCGATAAAATCTGGTTAAACCAACCGACCACTGCTTAATAAAATTCGCGCACTAACACAGATTAATTCCATGACGATACCACATTCTTCCAATTACGGAAAGAGATACGCCGTTAATAACGGCGTATGACGATATTTCGCGAGTCACGTATTTCGCGCGAAGAACCACATCGGCTAAGCCGGAAAATCGGAATTAAATTAACTAATTAATTCTGGCGTTTAAAATTTTATTATATTATTTCACGTGCACATCCCATCGACAATCGTTATTGAATGATTGGCGAACAGCTTGTTTTTCACATCACAGTGTCCTAACGTCAGTCGTATCAACGTTGAATTTTGGGACCGCGTTATCGGCCTTTTACATACACTTAAAAAATCTTCATATCACCGTTATCACTCGCTCTTTCGATGCAGATTACTCCTACACGATCCATATTGCTCGATAGGGGGACCATCCCGTCCGACATTAAGCGACGTCTTCGAGCTCCTCGCTACATCGACATCCATAAGATCGCTCGCGATGCATTAAGCTGATCGACGTTATTAATGCAATCTGCACAAGGTGTCGGACGTTTCATCGATCATTCCGCCGCGGTTATTTTCCCCAAGCGCGCGGCACCACCGCATTTTTCTGAGCTCGGTAATTTCTCTCTCTCCCTCTCTCCTTCAAAGGGTTAACGTTCGAACGCGTCGCTTCGATAGTATAGGCGCAAACGAGCAACTCGAGAAAATCTGTCTTCTCCTTTTCCTTTTCTTCCTTTTATAGACCCTGCACTATCACAGTCTATACGATCCGTTCGTTTTCACGATCGCAGTTTCGCGTCGCGGAAAAACGTTTTCGTTCGATGCTCTACGGAGAAAAAAAGAGATCCAGCGTGGATTTTTACTGGTCTTTCAATTCTGCATTGATGCCGGTATCGCGGCCGAGATAAACAAGCTCGTACAACGTTGTGGTACCCGTGAGACGACGGGTTTTACGAGCGACTTTTAACTTTAACATCTCCCCATCGGCCGCCGCACAACTCTCGGATGTGGCTCTTTTTTCTACTGCAACTTCTTCTCGATGTCTGTTTCTCCTAGCGAGAGACGTTTCCGTGCGATTTCTCGCCGATATTTTTACGGTGACACCGGTAATTGAATGCAGACCTCTCGAGAGACTGTCTTTAAGCGTTCGAAACGGTCCTTCCAGCACGAAGTTGAAGACGAAGTTGAAGACGTTTCACGCCGAATTTGTTCTCAGCAAGGCGAAGCGTTGCGGGACGGAATTTGCGGTGAAATTTGCATGCGCTTGCGATGATCGATAATTTAATTAATTTTTTTCTTCTTTATAATAGTCGATTTCTTCTTCTTTTCCCTTAAACTTGCTTTCTAATTTTCCAAGTGGGCAGTGATGGATTTATTGCTGAACAGTTATTTTTGCGGTAACAAAAGAATTATGAAAATTTTCCGGAATTCTAGAATGTCCAACGCTGCTCCGACGTACTTTGCATTCTCTACTCCGATCTAAGCAATTTTAATCAAACGGCACGCGCGACTAATGATTGCACGATCCTCCAACTTGATCATCCGTGCGGACACTGTTTCACTGTACCATCACTATACTATCGCACCATCGTGGACCACGGGAGAACGTTCGAGGAACCCGTTCCAGAGTACGCGAACAAAACGGAGAACGTCTACGGGAACGTTCCAACTACCAGGGAAAACGGAACAGATTCGTGCGTATATATACCGATTCCGTCAACTCCGAGGAGCAGCGCGAGGACGGAATCTACGAGGCTGCGGTTTCATGTCGTCGCTATGCGGAATTTCGCGCACTCCCTCGTTGCGAAAAAGGGGTTCGCGGCTGACAGGTCCTCGAGCGATGCGAGCGGGCCCCTTTTGCGCGAACTTCACCCCCTAACACCACCGCCGACACCACGGGAACGCGACGCGCGCGACGCAACGGGGAGAAGGTCGCGGCTCTTTCGAAACGGCGATGCTCCCGCGTCGAGGATAGCCGAGGGACTACATTGCGCGAGCGCCACTCGGGCGTCGAGCACGCAGCCGCCCCGTACAGCCCGTGGAACTGCGCCTGTGTGCGCTTCCGGCTGGTTGGTGTGAGTGACCAGCTGTGCAGGTATACGCGTCCGCGCGTGTGCGCGCGCGAGTTCCTCCCATAGCTCGGTTGTATATCAGAGCAGGGTTTCCCCACCCCCGCGGGAGCCGCCACCCTTTTACCCTGTCGCCTATCTCGCGCGCATCCCCCTTTTCTTTTTCTTCTTCTTCTTCTTCTTCTTTCTACTTTTTATTCTTCTTATTCTTCCTCCGCACCTTGTTCCTCTTTTCCTCTTCCTCACTTTCTGCTCCCTATCTCATCCCCTTTTTTTTCTCTCTCTTCTTCTCGTCGGCGCTGGGGAAAATCGCAGCTCCGGACCGATAAGGACGCGAAAAAGCGCGAATCCGGTTATAACTTATGGCCGAGATAATTAAAAGGAGTTACAGAACGATAATGGAGTGCCGGCCCTGTCATCTTCTTACGCGACCTGTGAACACCGAGAGCTGATCGTCGTCTATCCGTGCTGACTGGTGGTCGCGCTGAGGGTCACCCATTTCTCGGAGCAGAGTGGCGAGTTTCAGCGCGAGCGAACTTCCTGACCGTACGTCCGTTTCGAAGAAATATTGTCAGTCGATGAGAAGGCCGGATAACGATGAAAAATGGAAAACGATCGTATGCATATCGCACACGCGTTTGTTGAAAAAAATTAAATTGCCGTCAGGAGTGTATACGAGTATATCTCTTCGTACTCCGGATTCATTTTCGTTCTCATCTTCTTTTTCAAACACTTGGATTTTCCCGAATGCATTCGACGATCGGTTTCAAACCCTCTTCGTCTTTTCCTGACTTCGCAGCAATCTTGGATAAAGAAATAGACACGATGTCGTATTCGTACTCCGGACGCCGCATTGAACAGACGGGCAAAAAGCGGAACGGAATTATCGTGTTAAGGACCCGACGCGATCTGTTCAGTCGTGTTCGGCGTACCGACTGCAGTCACGTGTCACCGACTACTTTGGAAATCCACTGCGGAAAGATCAATAGGCATATCCCGCGCGTCTTCAACATTCCGAGAATTCGCCAAGAATTCCGAGGATATTCTCATACTGTGTTTGAGGAAAATTAACCGTTTCGCGGCTCTTTATAATATATATATATATATATATATATATATATATATATATATACATTGACGTGCGATTACGAGAGAATTCATCTCTTCGAGAGAGAATTTCCGTAATGGTTCCGTTGAGAGTCCTTATGCCAGGGGCGCGAGAAAACGCTCTTCTTGGATTATAAATCTTCGTAAGAATGTATAAACAATGGGAATGATCCATCAAACGTGGGATAAAATTGATAAAGCAATCCTTGTCACGAAAACACGTATCCTGATCTCTAATGCCGAGTCTTGTATCTTGATCATCTTCTATTGGATATCGATTAGCGACCTACGTTCGATTCGATGCACCGCGCGTGCTAAGATTAATTGTTATATCGATTTGCCATGAATTTTAATGCGTGCAGAACTCCGCAGAGTAGTACTACTTGATTAGCATTCGCTTTGTCAGAGGTAAGAGCGCATTATAGTGCGTGCCGCGACGTGTTGTGAATATTGTCATCGACTTCAAGTGGATGTACCACCTTTCTACTTCAACCATTTCCTCTCATATTTCGCAAATAATTTCATTGCTTTGTTCCGTCGAGCCATTATTTTAATTATGCTTTTAAACTGCTCGTGATTAAATCATGTTTTATTGTCGCTAAAGAGATAGATCGATCTAGCAGATTAAAAAAAAAATAGATAAAAATACATACAATTTTTTTTTTAAAGCTAGATAATATAATTTTTCAATACACAAAACTATGTTATCTTGTATAAATTCTGAAATTGTAAAAAAATCTAGTACATCTTGATAAATTTTTATATTTTTATATTATTGTATCTCTTTGCATGTGTTAATCTTTTACATTTTAAATAGAATATAAATTTTCACATTATATGCATAATCATACGATAGCGCTGACAAACTTAAATAAAAAAAAAATATGATAGCTTTACGACAGATTTTCTCGTGAATTTTATGTACGGCTTTTGCAGCTCACACAGCTCGATTGTTGTCAATAGCGAGCTTATCGTTGACAAAAGCACGACCCATACGGACAGATCGATGGTTATATTTCCACGCACGTGAACTTTAAAAAACGTTCATCACGATTTATTATCTGACACGCGATAACCAAACCAACTCGTCCGAACTTGCAAACACTCGCGATATGTAAATCTACAGACATTGCATGTCATTACATCATTCGCGCGCGTTATACCGTAAAAACCGATACTCGTAAGCAGAGGAATGAAAATTTCGATTGGACGCAAAAGCGCGTAAATTTCAATCGACCCGAACAGACCCCCTCGTCGCCTGATGAGGAAGCATCGAAGCCATCGATAAGACTTTAAGATGTAATTTTCGCATCCCTCGCAAAGGGACCTCGCCGGTACAGCACGGAATGCCAATCAGTTTGGAATTCACGGCGATGTTGCGCTGTCTGTCCTCGGTTCAGTAGGCATTTACCCCGAACATTTCCGAATTCCAAGGATATGACCGATAACGCGGCGATGTACGATCGTTCCTGCCGTAACTTTCATAGGGACTTCTGATCAAGGCTCCCTGCGAGATAGACTGGCGAGTCACGACCGTAAAGAGAGATCAATAGACAACGTACGTCCGTGTGTGTTCCAGATTCCGTGAATGTTCCGAACAGCCACGCTGCTCTCTCCTCTATCTCTCTCTCTCTCTCTCCCTCTCGCTCTTTAACTCGGCTTTTCACCAAATTATGGATAGCGATGGTCGAAGTGGCTCCGTCAGGGGAGCGTCTGTCGGCTACGAGTTGCAGACAGAGCCTCTTGCTGCCGATTCCGGACCATTATCGTCGATTCTAATGCTATCCCTAATGCGAGCGACTGTGATGCTTCAACTGCCTCTTCGTCAATGACGTAGGATTATAAGCCATTCGTCGATTGAAGCTTATACTTGCGATTTTAATCTGCGCAATCGGAAGAGAAAAGCCATCATTTCATTATCATTAATTTTATTAGGCTATTTTAAGTATCTTTTTATTTGATTCACGAGAGATATAAATGTGTTTACATGAATATATTTGATGGAAAGTAAAATAAAATTTGTAGGTATTTTTCACGAATTAAACAACGTTATAACTGAAATTATATTTGTTTTTCGCGCACGTAGATTCTTAATTATTGCAAATTACGAGGGTGGATCCTGTATGCGAACGTAGCGCGAGTTTCTCACCACCATAGTGTGTCAGTTGTATTCTGCAGCTATCACATCGGACCATCTGGGACATTTAAGGATGATTTTGGCCGCTCTCGGGGAATGTTAATGGAATATCTCGGAGATGTCTACATATCGCAGTGCAATATGGTCCCGGTTAATCTTGGACAGATTTTACACACTCTAGGGACGTGCGAAATATTCTGTATCTCTGATTACTCTCTTACTTGCTCGGGAATCTTTTTATTTTTCGCAGAACGAGAAATGCGCGAGGAATATATTGTATATCGCGCAATCGAGATCCAAAGGTTTTTGTCTGAGACGAAATATCTTGTTGGTATGTCCACGTACGTGCCAGTAGCTAAACCGAGACAAGATATAGAGCACGTACGAAAACCGCAAGGTCGACCGCAAGTTTCTCTATCAAGGAATTTGGGCGTATGTTCGTGTAATAACCTATTTTAGAAGAAATATGTATTTTGTTTCTTATGTACTTAATTAATCTGTTATGTGGCAGTAAGTGTGATTGCACATTCTGCAACGCTACATCTTCAAAACTTTTCGCATGCCGTGATGCATCAGAGTCAGCTGAATTAAAGGCGATATTAAAAAAGAAACTTTTAAATAAATTTAATATCAATTTCGCAAGAACGCTTTCAAGTTGAGTAAAAAAATGTCTCATGATAGGATTCAATCTTCTATTGAAAAGAGAGAAATATTATTATTCTTGCAGATAGTCTTTGCGTCTTTGATATTTGTCGATTAAAAGCAGACTGCAGATAAAAAAACATTGAAGTAAAAGGTTTTATTAAAAATACTCATTTTCTTGATTATTTACGTGGATCAATGTGCTAGTTTCTTGTTTCTTATAACAATATTTTTTCTCGGTAATTTTTCATCGGCATTTTAATTGGTATTCCATAACATCATTATACACTTTACTGCCGTCGTTATGGAAACAGAAGCTGTACAATTTTTTGTCCAATATAATAGATGCGCATCCATTATCATTTGCATGTTTCATTGAATATTTACATCGCTCAAAATTCGCGAGTGACTCGAATCGTTTCAGACCGTTGGCAGTGAAACGAAATCCTCGCGAATCGTTTCACAAGAGTACACGTTCTCGCGACACAGATCATTCATTTTTCTTATCAGCGTCGTGCACAAACTGATACACACCCGCTTCCGCCGAATGTCGCGTAAACGTAATCCGCAGTCTCCATCCATTGTGACAAAACGCGCGGGCCAAAACGGGGCGAGGCGAGTGGAGGAAAAGTCACGAGCGAAAACCATCATCGATCGAGCTCCGCACCGTCGACGAGAGAGCGAGCTGCTTAAAAAAGAAGAAAAAAAAATCAGGGAAAAATACGCCAGCTAGCGCGGCTTGCACCCCCAGCTCCGAAGATGACGACGACAACGAGAGTGCGCATGTATCGAGAGTCCCTGCACGCGATGCACAGTCCTCATGCCGGGAGGTAGATAGGTATGCACGAGCAACCGCGTGTACGTGACGCGTTCAATTTAAATTCAAGACACCGACGCGTATATCGTCCCGGGCGACGTGCACACTACAGAGATCCGCGCGGTAATTCCGCGTTCATGATAAGGCCGGGTGGTCCTTTAAAGAAGTTCGCGAAAGCTACTTGGCCAGACCACTGGCTA